TACAGTAATTACTCATACTAAGCCCTATTAGACCTAGGCTAGGCCTAAGCTTATAAATAGGCCTAAGTGCCAAGTGAGTCTAAAGTCGCCTATGAAAATGGCCGTCATTTGAATTCAAAGTAGCTGCCTACTACTAAGACTCATTCATAATTATCTTGGCAATGGAAAATCGTTAATATTGTAGGCCTAATGTTTTCTCTAGTGATTTAATAGGATCTAGGCTAGCTGCCTACATTTTTTCCTGTGCGGTAGACTAGGCCTATAGGCTATTTAGTAAGACCGCCACCCAGCCAAACATAGGGCCTATGTTTAATGTAGTTTAAATCAGTTTTAATCCTTTTAACATGGAATGACCAGGGTCAAATTGAAAACTATTTGTAGCATTTAAACTCTTTAATTGTAGTATGATAACATATTTATAAGTTTTATACAGAGATTAGAAATTTAAATCACCATAAACTATGATCCACTTCTCATTGGATGATCAACTACTATTCGAACTCGACCACGTAATCAAACCTACTTCAAGCCAATCAGTGTACGTAAGACAAAACATAATCCATAGAAAATCATGGACGCTAGGTGGCGCTATAATCAGCCACTCTCATTCATTGTGGGGCGGAAGTTTTTGTCGCAATGTTTTTCAGTAATATTTCTCAATCAGAAGATATTTTATTAAATACGATACAAAACATTTTCTTGAGAAAAAGTGGGGATGTTTTTCAGTAATATATTTCTCACTCAGAAGATATTTTATTAAATAGGCCCCTACGACACATTTTCTTGGGAAAAAGTGGGGGGGGGGGGAATAATTTTCACTAGTCCGGACATCATCGAGTTGTATATCATTGGAAAGAGAATATTCTTCTCTATCCAACGGTACCAGAATGTCTCCAATACGTTGAGTTTCAAGAGAGATATTAGCAGTTGTCTGTCAGAAGGTGAGTTATTTAGCCAAATCTCATGAACATTTTAAATTGCTCTAGCTCATCAGAAAATGCTGGCGCGGAGCCAAAAATTTCACTGTGGGGTTATCTCAGGTAGAACCCCCAACATTTGAAGGGGGTCGGGCAAAAAAGTGTGTTGGATTCATATGGAATGACTTACTACAAACCTAACTTTCAGTTGTTGAAATGTGGAATTCAAATAATTGTAGGACAAGATATGTGATAGGCCGAAACATGACACTCTGGTCACATAGGTATTTGTCAGTCGCAATGATAAGACAAAAATACGACAACATTTGCCGTGAGCACAACCACCCAACATTGGCATCTACGGAAGAAGGTGGTACAAAGCATACAAGCACCCAGCAAGACGCTGGCAAGGAACACTCGGGTTGTTTGCTGAAGCTACACACAATTTAAGGTGAGCAATAGAAAATTAATTAAGTGAATATCTCATCACTGTTCAGCCAGATTACATGAAACAAATATATTGGCATGGTAAACAAATATCAGCATGGTGTTTCAGTTTTATTAAGAAACAACAATAATACATTACACACCAGGAGACAGGAAGGCTTCAATCAAGTAATTAAAAATCAAGTTTTGTTTAACTGAAAATACTGTCAATTGATGAATGTCTTTTCAGATGAGTACATACAGTATCTCAGTATGGTATGTGATTGATAAAGCAGCAAATGCCAATGTTTGATATCATTTTTGATTTTTAACAAACCTGGTTTTGCATTATTGCATTAACTATTGTATATTTATTCCTCAATAGGAGCAAATGACAGGCTCAAATGGATTTGATGCTGACAGTTTCATCTGTGTGGACATGATGAAATGGACATGTCCAAGCCATAGTTAGCAGAAGGTGGCGATGCTCAGAGCTCTGCAGCGAGTGAGTGAGGCCAAAATATTAAAAAAAAATTGAATTAAAATGATTTATCTAGTGACTTTTTCTGAAGATATACTGAAATGCCACACACTTTGTTTTTTTTACGCATAAAATAAATAAATAAATAAATAAATACTGTACAGTATCAGTACTTTACCTGTTTTACTTGCAAAATATCTTTAATATTAGTAAATGGTATTATGAAGTGCTGTACTTTCTGTGTAAACAGTGTAATCCCATCCAATAGTAATCCCTTTGAAGCAAATAATGTGACCCAGAATTATAAAACAAATTGTGAGGATTAATTTTGAAATATGTAATGTGCGAAGTTGATAATACGGTATGAAAATGTGGCTCAATATATACAGGAACAACTATTTTAATGTATGGCTTTGTACAGTCTTGTGTAAAGTTATTCTACGAATCTGCTTATTTTTGAATGCCTGGAGTATGCCTATGTCTGTCTGCATAATGATCAATGTGGTATTGGAATTTAAGAGAAATCTTCAATTTTTTTGTTGTACACCATTTTTTATGTTTAGTATTTTGAAATATATAGTTGAACTTGCCTATGTCGTATCCAAAATTCCATTGAGAAATTGTTTGACCTTAACAGAATTTGACTTGCACTTACGGTAATGGAAAATTCAACAAATTTTGCATGTAAAATTAGATCGACTTAGAAATTATTAGAGTATATTATTAGTTGTCTTAGGCAATTTTAACTGCACTGCTTTATTTATCAAGTCTGATGGTCTTGTATTATTTACCATAGCCAAGATTTCTTCTTTCATGATGATATTCAACATCCATATTTTTGGTGCTTCACTTGGTTATTGATTATTGTTGTACATACAGTAAATTCAAGACTACTGGTGTTACTAAATAAATATTTTGAAACACAATTTATCATCCTTGTACATGGCAAATAATTTATTACAAGTGTATTTTCTCAGTTAATATAAAATTGTTTTACTGTACACAGAATAAAGCAACTTTGAAGCAGTCAGACATTACAATATATATCACTGAAATTAACACACTCTATTATCAAAATATTAAATATATGGATTTATAGTTAGTTTATACCAATGTAAAAAAATAGGGAAGAACAAGTTACATTTATTTACTGTACACAAAATTCTAATTCATACTGTATTAGCTTCAAATTTTAAAATATGAGACGAGAGTGGGGAAGATACAAAAAAAAACATTGTACTGTACTTAACAACAAAATGTTCTTGAAATCAATTTTGCAGGCCTATCTGCATCAATAGCAACAATTTCAATTACAGACTAGGTCTGGAAGGTTACACACAATTGATAATTTGATATACAAAAGCTCTAGGCCAATGCTGACAAAATTCCTTTCATGAGTGATGAGATTGGCAAAAAACAGATCACAGATCGACGCATGCATTTTCAAGAATGAACCCTTTACAAAGATCTGTTGCATTAATGAGGATGGACTTATCAGGTATCTTCCACAACAATTTATAAATAATTCCATCATCATCTATATCATCAAAAAACCCAGGGCAGTCTTCACAGCTTCTGGGAAATTGTCCCTAATTGATCACACAGTGCAAGATGGGATGACCCTTCTGTCAGATTTCTTTAGCCTACCAAATGAAAGCCATCGATATCCAACATGTCGACATTTCCTGTAAGAGAAGTACAATAAAAAGTTTGAACAGACTAGTTAAAAAAAAAAATCAGAGTGACTATTATTAGACCATTCAAAAATAATTAGTATTGATATTACAATATCTTTATAAGGAATTAATCATTCTGGCACTAATCAGCAATGATAATTTTTGTTGAAAATATATATATTTTAATTAACCATCACTGTGAAAAGCCCATATTCAAATGCATTGCAAAGTGGTGTAAAATAGCCACAACCTAAACAATTATTTTTAATGGAATTAATTATTTCATTAATATAATACTTTTTTTAAATATAAAAATATAAATTAGTTTAAAAATTACAGATGAAGACAATTACAATATATGTACAATAGACTATCTTGTTTCTCAATCTTTTCTAATGTACATTAATAATAATGCTCCTGTATTTTGACCATCAAAATGGCTGGACGTTTGACCCTCTACTAGTGTTTGATCCTGCATGGAACTAGCAGGGCCACGCCTAAGGCAGGTATGGTTGTATTTCCGAGCAGAATTAGTTTTTGAACTGAATCTATAACCATTGCCAATGTATCATGCAGAAGTTAAGTTCTGTGCACATTTTTCCTAGCCATTTTCCGCGCAAATTTGAGCTAGTTTTCGAGTTTTCATCCACATTCCACGACGAATAAACTGGCATTTTAGAAATACTGTAGTAGTAGTAGGTCCTAGATAGTTCCATGGATATAATAATTAACATGTAAATTAATGTACTTTATTTAAAATAGTGTTGTTTGTTTGTCTAATGTTTGAAATATTATTATAGTTCGTATGACTAGGCCTAAACTATATACAGTACTGCACTTAATGCTAGGCTATGCCTACACAGGTAAGACAAGTTGGTAACAAACCTATTTATAACGCCACTTATAAGATCACCACTTCCAAGACTTCCTTATCAAAACCAGCAAACATATCTTTTTGAAAGATTCATTCTTCAAAAATGCCTTCGACTTATTATATTATTATTATTATTGAATATTTTCGCCAGTCCTAATTTTTCAATTTTCCGCTCGCGACGACCATTCTCATCACTTGGCTGCGTCGTTACCAGCTCGTTACGGTTGAGTGAATCAGCTGACTCCCTGTCTAGCGCAAATTTCCGAAATAAAAACTGGGGCAAACTGTTATTTTACACAAAATTGAGACATTTTCATAAGTGAAAACCTATATAATTAAAAATAACAGCCAAATTTACATTGGAATATCTAAAGTTTAACACGATTTTTTATGGGGTTACCGAATGCAAGCCTTTGAAAGTCGGTACATTTTAGGATAATTCCCTATCTTTTAACACTAGCTCAAAATCCTGTAGAACCGGGGTTTTTTTGGGACCCGTTCACGAGCCTCGTTTTCGAATACCGCGCTCCAAAATCGAGTGCCGTCATTGTGGTCGCCCATCCCTCTATTTTAAATTAAAAATTAATCGTTTCATCCCCGCACTTCCCCTTTAAGGTGTATTTTACCGTTTATCAAACATGCTCCATCGGTGATCTTGAAGTCATCTAAAGCAATATCACCTGAGTAACTACTTCCTACAATTCCTTCAAACACTATCTCGTAGGCACTGGTTGTTTTAACAGAGATTTGTCCAAGTCGCCATAAGTTTCCTTGGTCGTCTCTTTTTGTCCACACAGGTGTACCAACAGTACCACCTGTATTGATTATATACACATTCAATGTGTTCACTGTAGCACCGTACATGTGGTAGAACCACTCCACGCATGTGCCGTTCGTTGCAGGATATGATGGTGTCCAAATGCGTGCTGTTTGGTTATAGTTTCTTGGATTTGAAGTTTCGATGTACATATAGAAACCTGTAAGCAAATGATGAAATAATTGTTTTGATTTGAGAGAGGTTTATTTTACGTATATTTGAAGTTGTGCTGTATAATTATTGCAGCATATATACAGCATTATTTCAATAAAAAAAAATAACGTCAGCTTTTCATTACCTTGTAATGTTCCGTATGTGTGGTCATAGTCAGGGCCAGTACGAGATGAGGGTGTTGATCCAGAAGTTCTTATCCAATCAAAATCATCGGATTTATCTTGTACGAAGTAACAAATGTGTGGATCTTCAAAACCACATTGAGTTTGTGCTACAAATACAAAAGAAAAAAAATTAATTGAATGTAATCGCATTGGTCTACAAAAACGGGGAATATTTGGCAATGAGTTACCTATTCGTATCATATTTGCAGAATTCGATATTCCAATTACCAAATCACCTAATTTCAAAATTTCATTTACATAAAGTCAAACCGGCATCCACACCATGGTTCCATAATGTTAATTGTAAACTACCAAAACATCTTCAATTTGAACTTTTAAATATCACATTACTTAATTATCTTCTTAATTTTTTTTTGTTTTGTTTTTGTTTATGTAATTAATCGTTCGAACTGAAGACGAATAAAAATACCTGAAAAATGTACCATTTCAACTGCATTTTCCTTATAATAATATTTGCTAATTTGTTTACAATATTCTATTTTCTGACTACAATAATGTTACTAATTTTCCATTACTCTTAGCTTTCAATCCATTTTGTACAATACATAGCCAAATTTGTGCCATTGAATAATGTGAGACTAATTGTGTAAAGTTAAAAAGGTTGAATAATCAATCTCAGTCTCTATCTTACTTTCGTTTAAATATCATTAATAAAATAAATAATAGGTGAAGAACAGATATGCAGTATCTAAATTAAAACTTGAAACTTTCACTCATGTTAACATCTATCTTAACGTTTGCTAAGTATTTTGTTGTAAACTGAGTTTTTAATTTTTTAGCATTCATTCTTCCTGCTTTAATCATATGACATGACATTTTCACGGTATCTTTTATGCTTAAAGCTTGTGTACTCTTGAAGATAACGTTAAAGATAACGAAATTCAATTTATAGCCCATAAAAACCCACATTAAGGTAATTATATTGCTATTTAACTGAATATAATACAATACATACTGTGCAATTGTTTTTATAAAGTGATCATGTTGTATACATTTTTAATAATGTTCTGAACACTAGGTTTACTATTATATTTTGCTTAATACGTAATCCACATTTATCACTGTAAAAACTTACATATATTGCATGTTGGTCCAAAAAAACCAGACATACACTGGCAGTTCTCGATTCCGTAATTCGAGACACAGACTCCGCCGTTCAAGCAGTAAATATCGCAAATTTCTTTAATTATAAATAAAACATAACTTTTAATGAAATATTCGATGTTCGTATTAATATAACATAATGGCTTATCACAATAATACTATATAAAGACTGTATACTACACTATATTGAAATACGGAACAAAACAAAGGCAAAACCTGATTACTTCATATTATTTCTTTCCACTAGAACATTGTTTCGCATTGTTGGCAGAGCCAACCACACTATTCAGGCGTTGTACGTATCCACCTGAAGAGTGTGGTTAGCACGAAACAATGTTCTGGTGGAAATAAATAATAATATTAAAACTGGAGTACTTCATATTATGAAGTTATCCAGTTTTGGCTTTCTTTTTGTTTCGTATTTAGCTGTACCCCAGTGTCGAGCACCCTACTAAAAAGATTTTGAACCTTAT